TTATTAAAACTCTGAGCTGACATTTCTCTTTGATTGCTTCGAGCAAAAATACTTAATGGGTATCCACTGAAACTAAGTCTGCAGGGAAACCTATGCTCAAAGTGCTTTAGTGCTGACTAAGTAAGAATTTGGAGATCCTTATTTCACAGAGGAAAACAAGTCTGTATTAATTAGTGATACAGAAATGTGAAAACACATTCTCAGGATTTGATATAGTTAAACCCTGTTTTATATTTATATATACTTATTATTTTTCAAAGTATTGATACATTGTGTTTTAACTGAGCCATTATGGGGCGAGCTGCAACGAGGCTCAGTAAACTATCAACATGTGAGAAACATAATGCATTTCATATTTAAGGGATTTAAGATTAAGATCCTTGGATTATGCATGAAGTTGTACACTTATCAAAAACCGAGGAATACATCTGTAGAAGTAGTGGGTGGCTCTTAAAAGAGCCGTTGTGTTGTTGGTCTATTAGCAGCAGGGTTTACTTGGAGCTGGTGTACTTGGTCACGGCCTTGGTGCCCTCAGACACGGCGTGCTTGGCCAGCTCTCCGGGGAGCAGCAGGCGGACAGCGGTCTGGATCTCCCTGGAGGTGATGGTGGAGCGCTTGTTGTAGTGAGCCAGACGGGAGGCCTCCCCGGCGATGCGCTCAAAGATGTCGCTCACGAAGCAGTTCATGATGCCCATGGCCTTGGAGGAGATGCCGGTGTCGGGGTGCACCTGCTTCATCACTTTGTACACGTAGATGGCGTAGCTCTCCTTCCTGGACTTCCTCCTTTTCTTGCCGGTCTTGGTGGCGGTCTTGGTGACGGCTTTCTTGGAGCCCTTCTTGGGCGCTTTCACGCTGGCTGCTTCAGGCATGATCAACGGTTGTGGGTTCACAAAGTAGAATGAATTCTCCGAGACACAGCGCGGTCTATTTATATTCCTCCGATGCAAATGAGACTGCGCTGTTGCTCACAAGGGATTGGTTGGGTACTGAGCATGCGCAAAGCCAATCACCCTTTGAGCATCGTTTTGGAGAATAGAATTTAGAAAGACATCGTTTTTTTATTTTCTGGTAACTTTTTATATATTAGTAAGGACCCTGCTATACGCTTAAAGTGACAGGTATTAAGGCACTTCAAAGTCTATTAAACATGATCTATATTAGCAGTAATATGAGCATCGTGAAAACATTAATAGATTGTGTATATATATATTTATATAAACATTTGTATATATATATATTTGTATTATCTGTTTTATGGGAAATGGTATTTCGATCTCTCTGTCTGTACACACAAACTGAAAGATTGACAATAAAGTTGATGTGATGGTTTACAGACTGTTTGGAAACCCAAATAAAAACGTAATGATGTAAAAAACACCACCAGGAGAAAGTAGAGTTTATGAGGGTCGTTCTCCTATTCTGTACTAACTGAGACGAATGTGTGATATTGGGCTATATAAATAAACTTTAATACAGTCATGATGAGGCTCACTACAGAGGGAGACTTCTCTACATTCAGCCTGCAGTCACATGTCTAAATACAGAAACATATACATACCTGTAATTCCACAGATACTGTGCTACATTCGTGTTATTTTCATATATTGTTGCACTGATCAAACAATACCTTTAGGTTATGATAACACGGGGTCAACTTGTACAGGGGATTGAAGTGTTAATAAACCCTGGAGAGTATTTGCAACATTTTACTTTTAATAGCTTAGGTCTAAGTGAGTGTTTGATCTCCAGTTGAGTGAAAAAGCAGTTACACTAACATCATTACACATTAGGGTAGCAGAAACTACTAAACAAACATTTTGGTAAAGGATTAGATCAATATAAGAAAGTGTTGGATGAAGGAAAGCTCTCTGGACAGAAGTGTGTGGCTCTTAAAAGAGCCTTTGGTGTTTATTGAAGCGGGTTCAGAGTCTTCACTTCTTTGCGGCCTTCTCGGTCTTCTTGGGCAGCAGCACAGCCTGAATGTTGGGCAGCACGCCTCCCTGAGCGATGGTCACTCCTCCCAGCAGCTTGTTGAGCTCCTCGTCGTTGCGGACGGCGAGCTGCAGGTGGCGGGGGATGATCCGGGTCTTCTTGTTGTCCCGGGCGGCGTTTCCAGCCAGCTCCAGGATCTCAGCGGTCAGGTACTCCAGCACAGCGGCCAGGTACACCGGGGCTCCGGCACCGACACGGTGGGCGTAGTTACCCTTCCTCAGATGCCTGTGGACACGGCCGACGGGGAACTGGAGCCCGGCCCTGGAGGAGCGGGTCTTAGCCTTGGCTCGGGCCTTTCCTCCGGTCTTGCCTCTTCCTGACATAATTGCTTTCTCGGGTTTACAACGAAGTGTGGCTCTCTGCTCGCCACAGCGGCTCTTTATATCCACCAGCTGCTCTCTGATTGGCCATCAGTGAGCGTATCGACGATCGTCCAATCAGAAGGGAGCTCACGTAAAGACTTCTCCTTCCAGTTGCTACTAAAAAGAAAGACACTAAACCTGGAGCTATTCGAGTAAATGTAATGAATATATTTATCATATCTGTCAGATGAGCACAGTGTTAACAATTTAGACCCATTTATTTATTGTTCATCATTTTACAATGTGTCGCTAACAGACTACAGATGCAGGCAGCTCACAGCAGCAAGTAAAGAGAAAGAGATGAAGTTATACAATGACATAATAATCAACACATGATGAAACCCAAAGTAATTCTGGCAGTGATGTCCTATTAAACCTCTGTGTNTCCCTTCAGCGTGTACAAAAGAAGGAGCTACACGCAGGGGTGTCAAACTCAATTTCCTCTCGGGCCACATTAGCATCATGGTTGCACTCAAAGGCCCAATTTTATAATAAGACTATATAAAAAATACATATATAAATATTTAATAATATAAAATAAATTAATGTATTATATATATTACATTATTGCATTGGATTATTATCGGATAGGGTAATAACTATATCATTAACTACGTCTGAAAGCAGAAGTCTGGGACAAATAATTGCAAATCCCTTCAGTAAGAATGTCACAAAATGATTTAAAAAGAAAAGCGAAGTTCTGAAGAAAAAGAAAGTCAAAATCAAAAAAATAAGTCAAATTTTGAAAATAAGTGACATTTTGAAAAAAAAAAGAACATTTTTGAAGAAAAAAAGTCAAACTCTGAGTAAAAGGCACATTTTAGATGCATTGTGGGACATGTCGTTTTTGGGCAACCTGCTTCTGTAAATCGGCATGTAACCGTATAATAAACATATTATATTCTTTGCAAGCTCTTGTGGGGCCACATAAAATGAAGTCGCGGGGAGTTGACACCACTGAGCTACAGCCTAAGGAATATTATTAATACTACACTGTATGAAGTACTGAACTACAAGTAAACATGTTCCTTCAAGTGTTTACATTATCATGAAAAGGTAGATGAAGAGTGTTATATATTTATATGTAATATCACTTACAAATTAGTACAACTTGTACTAATAGCATACAAGAGCAGCATGTTGTAGAACTATCTGATTTGTTATGGCCAGAACAATACAATGATACTCAGCAAAGAATAGGTATTTTTTAACACTTTAAGCGTTTTTGTTAAAAGGTTATCAATTTATGATTATGATTCTATGACAAAGCATTACATGCAGCTCCAATTGTACTTAATGAGATCAGGCCAACATATAGCAAAGTCATCTTCGAGAGTTCATTTATGTTTTTTCTTTTGAAAACAGAATTGTCATAGCAACAACATTATTCTATCAGCTCTTCAATGAATTTTGCTTTTCACAGTCAATTAATTATATTAGTGGTGTACCTAAAAACCTAGACAAAATAATGCAAATAATATACATACAGACTGACTGGCTAATAGTATTCAGTGTTTGACATGGTTGGTGTTAAGAATAATTTATGTAATCATACATAAGATGGAATAAATATAAAAATAGCTAGTTTGTATAGCTGTGTGTTAGTATTCCTCATTTGAACACTAAAGGCACAAACAATAGCAAGTATATGAACACATTTTGATTGGACATGAGGAATTCACTACAATAAATTAAAAAGTGAATTACAATACTTGGTTTGACTATAGGTAATGAAAACTGTGCTGACCTACATTGGGAGAATAAACTGATTGAAGTCAAAGAAGTGAAGAATGGGAAAATCAAAATACCAATTATAAAACAAGAATTAGCATCGTTAAACATTCATACAAGGAAAGATCCTCCTCTTGGCAAACATCCCCCCCACCCACAATAATTTCACAGACAATGTGTTCATTTGGTGAGGGGCACGAGGGGGGTTACTAAACGTTATGTATCATTTAAAGTATGGAGGCTTAGGAGCCATGACCTGGATGTTAAACTCCAATAAACTAAATCAGGAATGTTCTCTGTTAGAGGAGTGGGTGGCTCTTAAAAGAGCCTTTGGTTGGTGGGTCTGCCAGCTGCTTATCCCCCGAAGCCGTACAGGGTGCGGCCCTGCCTCTTCAGAGCGTACACCACATCCATGGCGGTCACCGTCTTCCTCTTGGCGTGCTCGGTGTAGGTGACGGCATCACGGATCACGTTCTCCAGGAACACCTTCAGCACACCGCGGGTCTCCTCGTAGATCAGACCGGAGATACGCTTCACTCCACCACGGCGAGCCAGACGGCGGATGGCGGGCTTGGTGATGCCCTGGATGTTATCACGGAGCACTTTGCGGTGGCGCTTAGCGCCTCCTTTGCCGAGTCCCTTTCCTCCTTTTCCTCGTCCAGACATTTTTTGATCTTATTGGTTATGAATACCAAATATGAATGTTGGCTTCATGAGAAGCGGCTGTATTTATTTCGAGTCAGCGGACGTGTTAGAGGTCAGTGGGCGGGGCCAACAAAGAGCAGCACTTATATTCTTATTTTTTAAATATAACCGTTTTTCCTTCCACTTTTAAATATAATTAATGTATTTTTTAATCAATACTTTGCGTCTTCCTGCGTTAAATCGTATCAGAGGTAAGATTTACATAATAATTTAAATTAAGATTATCTTTAACAAATAGGTTTCTCTGCAAAACAAATCCCTCTTCGGAGCCCATCTCACCCAATAGATCCTGTAAGTCATTATGATGAGACGTTTTCTCCAAATAAAGATGTATTATGTTAAAAGAATGACAAAATAATATACTATATCAAAATAATGGAGTAGATCTCACAGAATTCTCTAAACATTTTCCTTTTGTTTGTGAGCAACCTTCCTTGTTCATTTTTGTCATAGATCAATACTTTACATAACCATTGGAATAAAATGTATTATTTAACGGTTGTGATGTGATATTTTAATCTGCTGTAATGTTGTAACTTCCAACACATTGTTGAACACAAGATGGCAGCAGTAAACAACACCACTGCTGTGAGGAATACTTCCATCAACCTTCCTGTATAGCACAGGAAAACAGATTTTACAATATGCCAGTGATTTTAATAACCAGTGAAAAATGTATAATGTGTTATTATAATGTGTTATTAAAACAAAACCTAACACTGAACCATTCATTTTAGACATTTAAATGCAGAAATGTTTACGACCCAGAGAACAAAGAGACATCCACTGCTCAGGAAGCAACACAGATTTCAACGCTGATTCTAAAAAAAATGGTTTTATTGGTCTATATATGCTATCATCAATTTCAAAAGTGTCTTGTTGCAAATGAACTGGTTGGCAGGACGGCTCTGTTGTGATTGGTCGACTGCTTGGATATGTCCCTTCCCTTACTCTATACAAACACTCCTTTTTATTATCCTTATATTTTTGACTTACTATCTACCTGTGTTAGATTTGTTTATGTGTGCGCCACCAGACACCAAAGCAAAAAACTTGATTCTGATCACGTACAATGTGTTGGAGCGCTAGCCAGTCGCTAGTGTTCCTTAGTGATGTCACTTTGTTCAGGAAGTAAACAAAGGAGTCCAATGGAGGACTTCCTACAAACCGTTTTACAATAATATGTCCAATTTTTAAGCTTCTACTTAATATTTTTTACTGAACTATAAATATCTGACAGCTCGAGTGTCACTTTTATATATTTTTTTCATTTTTGTTAAATATTATCTTGACAAAGTTCTCTGCATAGCATTGCTACTGTAGCTAAATGTGCTAAGCTAACAGAAGTTGTTGGAAGTGTTTAGTGTAGTTTATTTCTTCTTCTTTTTGTACTCGCATGCAGTCTGTGTCAAGGTGAACAGCAACAGCCAGCGTAACCATAAAAACCTCCAGCGTTTACAACCCGCCGCCATCATCAAACTTTCCATAAAGTCGAGTTTTATGGACGTTAGCCGGTTAATGGTTTACAGGAGGACAGGTGACAGGGGGAAACAGAAACAAGATGGACACACAATCGTCCTTATCTCTTCTTTTGAAATGTTCCTTTTTTTCTAACCTCTTCAAAAGAACATACGGCTGAAAACCAAAGCCAGGCCCAATACGACTTGCCGTAATCGTTTATGTTTCTTTTAACACAACGTGTTCCCAGAGGAGGGAAAATAACTCAGATCTTACGCACCAGAGTGTAGGAATACTCTGTTACAGTAAAAGTAGAAGTACTCAGGTCTTGTTCTTGAGTAAAAGTAGAAGTACCAGAGTGTAGGAATACTCTGTTACAGTAAAAGTCCTGCATTCAAAATGTTCCTCAAGTGAAAGTAGAAAAGTATTCTCATCAAAATATAGTGAAAGTAGCGACAGTAAAAGTAGTCATTGTGCAGATTGGTCCATTTCAGAATAATATATATGATATGTTTTATAATGATTGATCATGAAAGTGTTCTCAAAGCTGGTAAAGGTGCAGCTAGTTTGAATGACTTTGTATACTGCAGGGTAGCTGGTGGATTTACTCCAGGTGGAACTAAAGTCTGATTCAACACTTAATAATAATAATAATAATAATAATAATAATAATACATTTTTTTTGGGGGGGGCTTGTATAGCAACC